CTCTACTTCCCAGACTATGCCAAAGATAAAAGGCTAATCTTGGTCAAAAGCTCCAGCTGGCTCGCATTACATTCAATCGGTTGCTTCTACAGTTGCTATGGTGCGAAAGCTGCCAGATATTTGTCATCAGCTACTTGTGTACTGATTATATGCTAAAAACAGGTGCAAAAAAATATATTCATCGCTCTGGAGATCTATGTTGGTTGGTTGCAGAGGGTTCCTGCTGATCGGGAAGCGGGACATTCGGCTTGGAGAAGCTGAAGGGGAATCCGTCGCCCTGAGTAACCACACCTCCCTGCTCGGGCCATTCTGCATGGATGACCCCAGAGCCCGGCAAATAAGATGCCAGTCGTTTGTTCTGGAGGTCATCGACCGTGTTCCAAAATCGAGTGGTCGTCGACACCAGGTCTCCGTGTGCCTGATCCAACACCAGCTGAATATCATTCCACGGAACCTGGTCCCGCAGAGCGGTATTTGTGGACTCCAGCTGCTTTTGCAATTCGCAGACCTCTCGCGCAACCTGCTGGCTCTCGGCTAATGCTGCATCTCGTGCTGTGAGAGCCAGCTGCAGTTTCGAATTTTCTTCGACTTTCTCGGCCTCAAGTTGTTCCCGCAACTGACAATGCTTGCGCCTCTCCTTGTCCCTTTCCTCTTGTGCCTTTTGGATCTCTTCCTCGATGTTGCTCATCATCTGGAGACACTTTCCATGGGTTGCTTTATCATGCTTCGGTCGAGGGCTTTTCGTGATGCAAGAGTTCTAGCATAATCAATAGAGTACATCAATTTACGCCGCCAGCATAGTGTTGGCCACGAAGGAGTCATAACATATGGAAAAGGTAGAGGTTGGTACCGTTTGCTTATGCGATCTTTTTCCCGGTTTGAGGGGTTTCCGATCATCTTTGAACCTGGAGGAAGTAGACCGAACGGAACAAACCGCCGGTGCACCACGCAGCTGTAGTTGGTCAGACCTGTGGCCTGTCTGCTCCCCAGCAGGCTTGTGATTCTTTGCCATGCTCGGTATGTTCGATCGTAGAATGAGTAATTATCCAATGGGAGGTAGAATGGTTGAAAGAACAATCAGAAGTAATGGCCGAGAAAATGATATTTTATAGCAAAGGGTATAGGCCTAGGCGTGAACTTGAGAGTAAATGAAAGTGCTCTCACTCCTACCCCACAGCTAGGCCAAAAACAGGGTCAAAAACCACAAGTATTGAGGGCTAGGCGTAAGCGCAACGCATAAAATACCCGCTGTTTAATCGTGGAGTACGCGATCAACAGGGCCGCACAAAGATGCACGTTGAAGCAGAAATCACTATCTCGAGATGAAATTTCAATCGGTCCGAGATACCACCCAGAAGCTCTAGGGCTCAATATTGTCTATCAAAATATATTATTTTGTCACTGTCACCAGTTCCCATGACGCTATGTAGATTGAACTTAAGAAACTGCTGCATTGTCAGAATTCTTAAATTTACGTCCGCGTATATATGGAGTTTACACAAGCCGTTACTGTACTTGTGGTCACACATCAGTTCCAATTGGAAAGTTTCGTTGACCATTCTTTTGCCGAGACTAGTGCAGTGATGAACGAAGTTCGTGATAGTTAGGGTATTCATTAAGAGAAACTACTGAGGCGCAAGAATCCGGAGTTCTACCACCAAACAATCTTCTTGACAGAAATCAGATCTTGCCTTGATAGTGCAATCGAATTGACAGGGCCGAGTATTTCGTTCATTGGACGAAGTCGATTATCCCTACTGCCCTCAATAGACTGAATATTCATCGACTGGTACAGTAAAATTCGAAATCAGTTTTAACTCTAAACTCTTGCGATTTAATTCCCGGGCCCTAAGTGGGGACACGCTAATCTAATTTTAGCTCTTCCCCTGATAATCCTTGTAGGGCTGTATTGTATTCCTGGTAACAACAATGAGTCATTGTTATAGTATCGTAATTTCTTGTAGAAACCGATGGAATCCATTGTGCAAACAGATCAACAACAAGAGAATCCTAACAACCTGGCTAGATCTTCTGTCAATCTCTCATCTCTTGGGCTTTTTTAGAGCAGCCGATTTGGTCTTTGTGATCTCTCTATGCAATAAAATACGGTACGTTCCATGGTGGGTCATACTTAGCTACACAGCGAGCGGCCTTTTCTAGAATCGAGGACTGACAACGACTCCGCGACCCGGGCGCCCGACAAAGGGGATAGGCGCACGAACGAAAAAGAAGCAGTCTTAGTATAGTAGGGCACCGACTATTAGACCTCGTATCCGGACCTGATATGGGAGGTAGTTAGCACAGTAGGCTATACGAGTTCAGATTTGGTTGCTGGAAGCTGAATGCTTAAAGCGCAAGTTTTATTCTCTATCAACCTCAGCAATATACATCCGGGAATGAACTAGCCCATGCATACTCCACAACATGTGATCCGTCATCTACTCAGGCTTCGTCCCCGAGTTGATCCCCATGACTCATTTCGTTGCGGCTTCACCCTTGAAAACGAAAGAGCTTGACTCCCGCAGAAAATCTGCATGTTCGTCGTACATAGGCTTCAGGCCAGTTTCCAACGTCTCTTTGAAGAAATCTTCAAAAGAAATTCCTTCCAGGTCGGGGTAGAGGTCCTTGCCGACCAGGTAGCCTAGGTAGCGGGCGTATTCGGGTGTGTTTTCTCCCATAAAGTCATATGACTTTTGGTAGGTGAGCTGGTAATAATCCATCATCTTGTAGGGATCGTCCTTGGTTCTGGCAATACCATCGTCAATCTCATCGGCGGTGCGCTACGAGGTAAAATGTCAGTATCTAGCTTATCATAAAGATTATCATGATAAGACGGAAACATACATATTTCCTTTCTATTTCCTCGCCGCTGATTTTCTCAACTGTATCATACAGCTCGTGCTGAGTGCGGAGGTCGGTATAGGCGAAGACCTTCTGGTTAAGGGTCCTAGTGTCGGCGATGATACGAGCAACATATACGCCAACATCGCGGGAATCGGTCCTGGCACAAGGTACGTCACCACTGCCTCCAATAGCGCTATTGTAGAGAAAAAGATTTCGGTCAATGCGGCCGGAGGGCAGGCGGGGAAGGCTGATCTGGTACCACCAACCGACATCGATGACGGTGTAAGGAAGGTGCAGCCTTTGAATATGGTCTAGTATGAACTCCTTCTAAAGACGCGGATAAAATGTCAGACTTTTGAAGTTAAAGTAATGCATCATTGTGAGCAGGGCGGGAAAATGACCGCTACTTACGTTGTCGCGCAATGTCTGGACGCCTCTGGGCATCACTGAAGCATAAAAGCATGGAACATAACGCTTTACCCCAGCCTTCTTGGCTGCATTGGCAAGAGCAACTTCGTCCAGTAAGCAGCAGACAATAAGGACGTCGATGCCTTTGAGCTGGGCTGTGACATCATCCTCAGAGTCGGCAAGGCTGAATGACACTATGTTAATACCTCTCTTCTGCAGGTCGAGCACATTGGGCTTCTTTAGCGAAGAAGGTCGGACAAGGGCCGTGATATCCTGCTTCCAGCAAGAAGATTAGAATGCTTGACAAAAACTGAGACTTAAGAGGCAGTGGACACCCACAAATTTGGTTTCTGTTGATGACAGCAGGCCATTGACTATAGAGCTGCCGTTTTGGCCCGTGGCTCCAAGAATCGCGACCTTCATATTAAGACTGTATTAGAAGTAAGGAGAAGATCGTTTTGAAGTTGCTGTCCGAGAAGTAAGCTGTGTCTTGCATTTGTGACGGCGTGTGCAACTCTTTTATACTCAAGATGTGCGAAGGGACCCCCACTTACATGTCTCCAATTTCTCCAATCTTGCATCACAGCTGCTGAAAGGCTTCTATGGCTCTCGGATCAATGGCTGCTTGCGGACTATGTTGTGAAAGCCCATCGGAGATACAAAACGATATTGTAGAGTTTACAAATCAAGCGGAGTGGGGAATGAACAAATCATGTGATATAGCGCTTCGGTTCTACTTCCTGATTTACTCGGGTGTACTCCGTACGAATGGCCGAATGAGGTGGTAAATTTGATGGGGTTTGGGGGTTCCTTTACTTCGAGTTGATATCATTGGTGGATGATTTAGCTGAGTCACCCTCGGATGTCCAGTAGCCCGGCATCCCGAGCCAAATGGCAGTGAGCGACACAACTGCCCAAGAAGCGGGTTTGGTCAGCGAAAGCCAGGGAGCTCGGATCTTCTGTTCCGGCCCACTCTTCATTCTAGAACCGCCCAGCACGTGTTTCTACGATTTAAAAAACAAAACTTACATAATCCTTGGCATGCAGACTCACAGAAAGTGTGTGAAGTACGTGTATAATTTCTGTTGAGACACTTCTTGACCGCGGGTTGAATCTGGGCTCCTAAATACACGATAATCGCCTGTCCGGCCTTCAAGCCTTCCGAGTTTCGATGACCGGAATGATTTTGTCCCTTCCTCTCGGTGGATGATCGGCTGAGGGAGAACTAGGTTGAACGGCACAATGTTTTGGTGCTAGAGCTCCTTTGAAGGAAATTGCACATAAGTTTTGGACTGATTCACCGACATGCATTTCTGCCAGTGAGGAAAGTCTGGATGTGATTGGACAGTCACAGAAAGCACCGAAAACGGCGAATATAAAATTGTCAGAACCAAGAATATTGACTTTGAACATTTTTACTACTTGCTTACAGGGAACAGACGTATGTTGCTGTCAATATCTCTATTGTAGCAACTGAATATAATGGGGACACGCAGGAACCCCAAACTTCAAAAGTGCTTGCATCTCACCACCGTAGTCCCAAACATACGGTGCACATGCTTGATGACTTCGATCTAAAGGGCCCAAATGGATCTCATAAATGCCTAGAATATGAGCTTCTAGGTCCCAATGTTCTAGATATAATTGATGCAAACTTTTCAGATGGAGACTTCCTGGCAAGCTCGCCAAAACCATTGTAAAGCAGTGTTTGATCGGACTCGATAGTGTGCACCAACGAAAGATTGGGCATGAGGGTAAATCACTTCCTTGGAAATACTTTGGAAAGTGCTCACCTGGTATAGATCCGCATAGCCACAATTTGGTCTTCGCTATGCCTTACATAAACGATTTGACAGAAGAAAGGTTTACTGAGATGCTACAGTAGGAAAACCAGAAGTTGGATTTGTCCAAAAACGCGATGGGAAATGCCTGGAAGCTGGCGTGCCCGAATATGTTGCAAAACCTACCTCGTACGGGTATCACTCTTGGGATCTGGCTCAGGAGGTCAAAATCATTGACTTCGGAGAGTCATTCTTGCACACTGCTCCCCCTGAAACACTACATACACCTTTATCTCTTCGGGCACCGGAAGTTCGATTTAAAGGTCACATTGATTATCGCGTTGATTTGCGGAGCATAGGCTGCATGGTGGGTGAAATCATACTCAGGGAATCCATAAAACCCCTAGCTAATAGGTGGGCAGCTCTTTGAACTGTTCGTGGGCCAGCCACCTTCCACACATGCTTAATAACGCCCACAATCCTTGTTGGCCAAATGCGAGAGATGGCAACTGATGGATTATCTGAAAGATGGCAAGATAAATGGAATACGATGAACACAGGGGACGTCATGGCCACAGAAAGCACCGGCCCAACTTGCAGGAATGGCTGGAAGAGTATACTTTGATGGCCCGCTGAATCCCGATTTCACACGAGAAGACATAGTGAGGCTGGCACAAATCGTTGGAAGGTTATTGAATTTTGAGCCGTCTGCAAGAGCGTCAGCGAGACAAGTTCTTGGTGACCCTTGGTTCAATGAGTGACCCCATGACAAATAGTCATTACACAAAGGCGCTTATGAAATTAGTCTTCATTAAATTGTACTGTACCTAGCAATTTCCTGAGACTTCTTCGATTTTCAAGCCTGCGTGCCGAAATGACTTCTAGCACTCCCTCTTTGTGCACCACATCAATACACCACCAAGAAAGACTTCAAAGTCTTGATCTGGGTCTACTTCATAATAGTTCCAGTTGCGTTTCATAAAGGCTTTGGGCTCAGCGAAAAACTCTTCAATCGGATTCAAGTCCGGCGAGTAGGGTGGCAGATAGACAAATATTACCCCTGCATCCACACACATCTGCGTTATCCGCTCTGAATGATGAAACGAGGCGTTATCCATGACCAGAGCATATTTAGCTTCGGGCCATCTTCCGCAGTGCTGAAGAAGCTGCGCTATGAAGTCTTCGAACACGGTGGCATCTGTGGACCCACGGAAGACACGCGAGAAAACGATTCCATCCTGGGCATATGCAGGCAGTATCTGATATCGCTGGACGCGGTGAAGTTGTGAAACTTGCATAGGGGACACACCAATTGGTGACCAGCCTGTGCGCCTGAACCCAACCCTTTTATCGCATCCGGATTCATCTACTTAAACCAGCTGATATGACTCAAAATCCGATAAATTATGCAGATACCATTCTCGCAAATCGGCATTTAGCTCCCTCGCTTGCTACTGAGTGCTCTTTTTAGACCAACCTTTGGCAACAAGGGCTCGTCTGATGCTGGAAGTTGTGACTAGGGTGCGGAATTCATCCCAGAGAAAAACAGCCATCTCATCGAGGTATAAACCGGGCTTTTCAGACAGTCGTTCGCAGAGGGCTTCGATCATCAACGGTGTTACAGTCCGTTTCCGTCCTATTCGAGTCGGTGGTGCGTGCACACTTCCAAATTGCCGCAAGTTTGCGGGAATATTTATTATCGTAGCCTCGCTGCATTCTGCCTCTTCGGTCATTCTAGATGTATCAAGTGGCTGGCTCTCTATCATGTCGCGGATGAGATGCAGCCTAGGTGGTGCGAGTCGCGGAGCCATTTTGTGAGGTCAATTGTGATCTTCAAGAAAGATGGACGGGGGGTGACGATGCCTCCTGCGTGGGTGGACGGTATGGTAGAGAATTACCATTGTATGGCACTTACGAGTAAGATACACAAGGCCCGGTCCTACCTTCGTTATGTAAAATACAATGTCTATTCTTGGAAATCTTGGGATCCCGAGGCTAAAATGATCGACAAAGCGCTCATGGAGAATTTCACCAACAGACCTGATCCGACTTCGTCGATCTTCCAAAGACTCGACTGTGCCCAGTGGCCGTGTTGATGAAAGGAATTCGTCGATCATGAAACAGTTAATAATGCAAAGGGTGATATCGGTTAAGTCCCTCTTCCCAGGAGGAAGCTCGCGCATGAGCGGTGTTAGGTCAACGCCATCCACGTTTATTGGGAACTGGGTATCGAATGTCCCAGGTCCGATCTGCATGTTTACACCTTCGTCCTCGGAGCAGAGCATGTCCATTATGCAAACATGCCACCAAAGGCGTCGGCGAATCTCCGTCTCGAACTGCGATAGACCGGCCTTCGACCCATCGCGGTGAAAGCCCTGCGCTTGTGCAAGACGGATCACCATAGCGGATCGAGCCCACACAAGTCTTGTATTCCCATGAACGCGTGCGCAGAGAAGATATAGTACCGCAGCTTGAAGAGCGAAGATTCCTGGGGAGTTGACGAAGTCCGCTCGATTCAGTGCCTGATCTACCGCCCTTCCATACGCTCGCATTGTTGCTTGGTATTCCAACCCTTGTGCCGACTGAAGCTGCGCCGGATTCATACTGACCACAGCGGCATAACAAACCGAGAAAAGGAGTGCTTCGCTTGCAGGATCAACACTCGAGCCTTTTGAGGCGTCGTCAAATATCTTGGCGGTGGTAGGCAAATGGGGAACAGCAATTAGATGCGCAACGTTGTTCTGGTATATAGCCCAGAAAGTTTTCATCTGTGACGGCTGATAATAGAGTTGCCGAAACGTATCTTGAGGACAGGAGCGGTTGTCTGGGCCAAGCAATCCCACCTGTAGCACACCACATGGAGCAGGTTCAATCTGTGATGGTTGAGTGCTTCCATTCTCTCTCAACTTTGCCGAGTTCCTGGATTGTTCCTCGTCACTCAATTGAGGACTCTGGAAGGACCGAAACCTTTCAGACTCCATTTCTAGCTCCGTCAATCGAGCAATCAGGTCGCGTACGGGGAGTCGATTGAGCGTCCGTGGTGCGCGCCGAGGGCCAGGAAAGGTACACAGAACACCTGCCTTGGTGCATGCACCACAAGGAGCTTTTCGGTTACATCGCACTTTTCGCTCATTGCATCGTGTGCAACTCCTCCTATTGCAAGGTATTGCTGATGGTAGATTTCCGTTTGATATAGCAGATGGATTTTAAACCCGAAGGCGAATAGAGAAAGAGACAAAAGATCTGCGAAAGTATGTTTTCGGAAAGCCGAAAGCGCAGGTAGCGCAAATGTAGGTCATTATTTCAGAAGTTCGTCGTTCTAGGCCAATGATTGTCCTTGATGTGGGTCCCGGGATTGATATCAATGCCGAACCTCAGATTTGATTACTCGATTATCAATCTTTTTAAAAAAGTGTAACCGCGATCGACTTCCGTATAACATTGTTTTATCCTCGGCTGGCGACGACTCCCATCTCCCCGTGGTGCTGACTGGGAACTTGTGAATGCCTTGCCTGGGAGATTTTTGCAGAGCTATAAAGAGTCACCCTGGCTAGCACTGTCCGCCTAGGCTACGGCGGGAGCGAGAGCTCAGGGGTCAGGGGCCCTGACCCCACGCACAGGCGACAAGGGATCACTTTGAAAACCACCCGACACACGACTGCGAAACCGATCCTACAATCAGTGGACACTAGGGTCGTGGGATAGGACACCCTAGTGGTGCTCTCGGGCTGCTCTGCTGAAAGGAGGATATCGCTGTGTCCGAGGATACACAAACAACAGAGTCAAAAGCAAAACCACGAACGACATGGCACGACTCAATGGATATCTTTATCGAATCAAAGTAGCAATCACGGACCAGTGCGTGTGTGTGGACAAGCGAGAGAGACCGTGGAACACTTCCCTTTTCGATGTCAAAAATGGACGGCACACCGGGCGGAACTAGTTACTACAATGCACCAACAACCACCGAGGAAATATACCCTTCTTCCTAGGAGGAAAGCCCCCTTCCGATGATCAGAAGTGGACGCTGAACTAGAGACGGTACGGGCCTCAATACGATTCGACATCGTCACGGGCCGATTCGAGGCCACCTAACCGTGCTAACCAATATAAATCACACCCTTTTCGCCGATCTAACCCACCAACCACTTCGTGTTACAAATGGTAGACGCGCTTCAACTGCCGAAAATAGGTTGTTGAACACTTGGAGAAGCGCTTTCAAGCCAGCCTACTAACAAAATTACTAACCCACAAGGATCCGCGATACGGAAATGTGTCATCTCACATTGGGTTGTTGTCGGAGTCTACGCCGTGGCGGTCGACCGAGCTGTATACGAAGAATTTGACGTTTTGCTTGATCGATTCATCAATCAAGGCGATTCCTTGGCGTCTTTCGTCGTCATTTTTGGGGTTCGCGGTCTGGTCTTATTGGATTGATTCATCTTTGTCGGGTGAGTTCCTTACCTGGACACTAAATACTCCCCAGACCGAGGCCGAGGACTGGCGTTTGACGTTATCGAAGATCGCCGCTGGGTTGTCGAGGTTTCCTTGGATCAGAGTGATCTTGTCTGATTTCTGGGCCAATTTCTTTGCTGAATTGGAGTTGACGTCGCGAGTGACCGCTAGGATATTGAAGGGTGCATTTCTTTCGAGCAGCTTCTTGATGACGGACCCGCCTTGCTTGCCGGTGGCGCCGGTGATAAGCACTGTGGTCATGATGGTCGATTGAACTTGACTTGCTTCGATTGAACTTGACTTGCTTCGATTGCTGAGACTAGTAAGCCCCTTTAAGTACCGCCGACTTTATTTTTGCTTTGTCACTGCAAAAGTGTGTTCGTGTTTGTCATTTCGCAGTTCGGGGTGAATCTCAACCCCGAGTTTGCCAGGATGACGTCATCACCCAGTCGCCTCTCGAGGTGCATTGCATTCTAAGGTTGCGGATTGATCCAGCGATTCGCGATTGTCTTCCGTAGAGTATGAGGGGTCTGGATATTTGGCGATTATCGTCAATCTCATTCCACGATTACCTCGCTCTGGATGGGCCATTGCCTATTGCCCCCGGGCCACGGCCAAGACAAATATAGCCCATGCCACCAGATGGGACCTGAATAGAGTCAACGGCTGCAGTGGTTTGTCGGAATAGACCAATTCAGTTCCCCACTGTTGCCACCGGGGGTTATCGGACTTGTCGGCTTGCCTGAAGTGAAGTGAAGCGACGTGGAGTGGAGAAGTCTCCAGAGGTCGAAGGGCTGAAAAGATCGTGGGTAAGGAGACTAGCTTTCCTCAAGTTCTGTTTTGGGCAACTGGTGATGTCACCTTTTGCAGCAAATCCAAGGACAAAAATGCTCACTGCAAGTGAGCTAAGAATACTGGATGTGGTGCCGAATTCTTCCTCAACAGGTGACATTCCTGGTACTGGCATGGAGGACGTAAAGGGACTAGACAGATCTGCAATATTAGTCACTTCTTCTATGGAATTGTTCATGAAAGAAGCACTCAAACCTCAGAAATGTAACTTCGCTTACAAGTCCTAGAATTAGCTATTTGCGACCCTCGGGAAAGTTTCTGCACATTTCGGTCAGTACAGATTCCAAATAACCAGAACCACGAGCCAATCATACCTGGGGTTATCTCGATCATCCTGGCATTGCTAGCCGACCAGGCCATTTTCGAGGTCTGAAAGCATGAGATCTCCATCAACAACAAGACCCAGTGTCACGAGGTGAATTAGAAGACCAAAGCGCAATATTCAGTCACATACAAGGGTGCCTGTTTTTGCCCCTCGTGTTGATGTGGCGCGCTCAATAATGCATCGTGGTATTCTTGGCTGTGGGGCGAGGAGACAATCAGCAAGTGTGTGTTGGGAAATGAGCAGGGAGCAACCTGAAACGTATCGTGGAGTAGCTCGGTAGGCACCAACTTGGTGGTCTGAGCTCCTTGAGGACTTACCCCGGCGCCCAAAGCGGAAAAGGGTGGCCAAGCCAGAAGTTCGTAAACTGGAGAAAAAGTGGAGAATGAACTTCCGTCTACGGGATCCGATAGGCTCCCCACGGGCTGTTCAAAATCCCGCGGGTAAATTTCCTTGTTTGTGAAAGACTGACGGCGACCCCAGTCACGAATTCCAGTCAATGAGCACCACGAAACCCAACAAGGCAATTTACACGAGAAATGATGCCAAATATGCTCCCAGATGCACCTCATTCTTAATACTAAGTCAACTTCGCGAATTGTCGAGACATTATCACAACACTTGTTGCTCTTTCTTGCACATTCTTATTACCATTCACCATGTCCGTCAACCGTGGTGTTTACACCGACCTTACTCACAACATCTACATCGATACTGCACAACCCGCTGCGCATCTGGTGCCTTCTGGCTCGACTCTGGAACCCGGTGAAGTAACGGTCGCAATCAAGAGCAGTGGAATCTGCGGGTAAGTCCATGCTTTGAGGCACATTTCTACGACCTTTAGCTCACCAGACTGCAGGTCAGATGTTCACTTCTGGAAGCATGGCGGCATCGGTCCGTGGCAGGTATCTGGCCCCCACGTTCTGGGCCATGAGTCCGCAGGTGAAGTCGTCGCGGTTCACCCATCTGTCACATCTCACAAGGTGGGTGATCGCGTCGCTGTCGAGCCGCACATCGTCTGCTTTGCTTGCGAGCCTTGTCTGACTGGTCGGTACAATGGGTGTAAGAACCTCATTTTCCGATCGAGTCCCCCGTCTCACGGTCTCCTACGGACATATGTCAACCACCCTGCTGTTTGGTGCCACAAAATTGGAACCAAGTTGTCATATGACGAGGGTGCCTTGTTAGAGCCACTTAGTGTGGCTTTGACAGGTGTAACACGGGCGGGAGTGACTATTGGTGACCCCGTGTTGATTTGTGGAGCGGGACCGATTGGTCTGGTGTCCTTGCAAGTCTGCCGGGCGGCGGGAGCCTGGCCTATTGTAATCACCGACATCAACGAGGCGCGATTGAAGTTCGCCAGCGAGTACGTCCCTGGTGTTCGAACTTGCTTGGTGAAACGGAACGAAACCCCAGAGCGGTGCGCCGAGCGAGCAGAGGCGTTGATGGGAGAGGGTGTTGAGATTTCGATTGCGCTAGAGTGTACCGGAATGGAAAGTAGTCTGGCTACGGCGATCCACAGCGTCAAATTTGGTGGCAAGGTGTTCGTGATCGGCGTTGGCAAGGATAAGATGGAGATTCCTTTCATGAGGTTGAGCGCGCGCGAGATCGACCTTCAGTTCCAGCAAAGATACGTCAACATGTGGCCCAGGGCTATTAGGATCTTGGAGAGTGGCACGGTGGACTTGAAAAAATTGGTGACCCATGAGTTTGTCTTGGAGGATGCAGCTGAGGCGTTCGCGACGGCCGCTGATCCAACACGTGGTGCCATTAAGGTTCTTATCCGGCCAGAAGCTTGATTGTATTTTTCTTTCAAATGAACATCAATTCCCTTTCTCAGATGAGATGAGTACACGTATGTTGCAGACGAGTATCATCCACATGCGAGCAGCTACGTGGTATTAGGCTTCTATCGAGGGGAAAACTCACTAAGAACAAAATCTTGCTTCTCTCGCCAGGGCTTGTTGAGGTGCAGAATAACAGGATTCAAAAAGTCCTAAACAACCCATTTACTACCGTACGCGCCGAAAGTCCGGAGTTCTAGGCCCGCATAGACATGCTACAGAGACCGAGAGTAGAACTGTCTCCTTGGAAGCAAAAGGAACATTTCTGTGGACTGAAAGGAACAGAAGATATATTGCTATTAGAATATCATTACCTTGTCCTTAGGCGATTATCGAAAAGGGTACTTGATCGGCCGAAGTCTCTACATTTTATTACATCAGCTTCACGATAGGCCATTCTAATACGAAAAGTGCAAAGACGATATGGATATGACCATGAATAGTGGATTGAATAGTAAGGATATAATAACACTGTAACTTATATTCCTCGATATCAAGATATGTGTTAGATGTTACTACTCTGCATGCTCCACATAACCCTTGTCGGTATTGCCACCGCCATGGTTCGAGGCCTTCTTCATCTCAAACTGCTCATGCTCGATGTACTTCATAGGGCGCTTGCTGCACACCGCGTCAGGGTCTCTAGTCACAATAAGGCCAGGGTCCGATCGGTAATATGTGTCGATATCCTCGAGAGTGCGGTTCGCTAAGTGAAATGTGAGCTTTTGCCCATGTCTTTGGGGATGTGTTTACGAACCTGTCTCTGGGTAGAAGAAGTAGATCACTGGAATAAAGGCAGCATTGAACACCGTCCAGACAATCCAAAATTTCCATCCAATATTCTGGATGCCAATGGGAGTGATTTCCACAATAACGAAGTTGCAAATCCTAGCGAAAAAGTAAGTTGCTGGTCACGACTTTGTTCCAAGCTTTGAATAGTGAACATACCAATTCGTAGCGGTAGCCACTGCAGTACTCTTGGTACGCATTGAAAGAGAGCTAATCTCGGTGGGGTAGAGCCAGGGAATGCCAAGCATGCCGATTCCGAATGCAATATAATAGAAGAAGAAGAAAGCGATCGAGGCGGACGCGACCGGAGAGCCCTTGGGCTTGTTTTCGGCAAATCGCAGCAAGATCGTGATAATTAAGAATGCCAAAAATTGGCCAAATGTCGAAAGAAGCATAAGGGTTCGTCGTCCCCAGTATTCAACCAAGGGAACTGACAGACACGTAAATAGCAAATATGAGATCGCATTGCAGGCAGTAAGCAGTCGTGCTATATGATTCGACAAACCAACAGCATCTGAGAAAAGTCAGCGCTCCATTTGAATTGTTTATATTGGGTATTGGGACTTGCTAATAAGCACGGTCGGCAAGTAATAAGACATGATGTTGATGCCTTGGAACTGCTGCATGAACTGCGTTCCAGCACCTAGAACCAGACGTCGCATGGTTTTTGTGGAGTTATTCTTCTTCCAGTTGAACAACAATTGAGACCATCTGATAGCGTTTTCGCGTTCATAGTGAATGCTATACTCGATCTCGTTGCGCTGGACGGAAATGTATGGATCGTTGATATCCTTGTCTTCGAGACAAGCGAGTACTTGGAGAGCCTCAATCTCGTGACCATGGGCCATGAGCCATCTGATAAATAGTTAAAATAGTTAGGATCTTCCCAGGCATAAGAAGTGACTGGGTTTGCAAAAGAGAATAATGGGATGAGAAAGATGACTGTACTAACCTAGGGGACTCGGGGAGCCACGGGACAGTCGCAAAGAGAATGATGATGAAGAGGAATTGCAGAGCAATAGGAAGTCGCCAAGCAATAGCGCCGCTGTTGAATGAGAGACCGTAATTGATCCAATTCACCGCGGCAAATCCAGCGATGTTCATCACCATCTCGAGCATGACAAGCTTGCCTCTCCACTTCGCAGGGGCGGTCTCGGTCTGCCAAATCGGTGCGCTCGAAGTATTAATACCGTTGCCGATACTATTTTCAACGATCACAGTTAGCACAAGGACTTGATGTCACCGCTTTGGAAATTGGAAGACATACCCGAGAATGATTCGGCCCACGAACATTTGTGGGAGGCTGAAGGAGCTGGCTTGAAGAATTGTTCCCACGGACATGATGATTGTTCCAAGAAGAATTGCCTTCTTTCGACCAAGGCGCTCTCCAGCAGTGAATGCAACAATGGCTCCGATGAAGCAACCAATGTCATAGATTGCAGTCACGGTTGAGAGTGTTGATGTCTTCGACGGGCCAACTAGATCATGGACCTCCAAGAAGTCCTGTGTTACTACCACACCACCTGCAAATTGTGAAGGTTGGAAAAAACATGCTCTTAAGTAGAATACGAGCTTCATGCATGCTTACTGAAGACTCCCTGATCATAACCAAACAGTGTCATATCCGTCGCACATGCGATCTGCGTAAAGAAAGGGTTCAATGAACAATCCCGACAGAAGATTGTGGGCAATTTACCGTCAACCAAACGGTCAGCCATCCTCCGGTCAGCCCAAAGTATGGCTTCCTCCCAGTTGTTGCTGACTGAGTCATTGTCAAGAGGTGGCCCAAGTAAAGGCTACAATATTCAAAGGTTGTTGAACTTGAAGAGTAGGAGAGATAAGTAGTTAGTCCCCAAAAGTTGGATATCCGTGATAGATATATAAGCGTTATCGGTATCTGTGAACCAGGCTTTTCGAATCACCCCATATTACAACCCGATAGGCTTCCAACTTTTGCGGGGTTGGTCCATGCGGGGGGGAGGTTGAAGCTGCGCTACCCCGCGGACATTGCTGTAAAAGGAAATTTAGGAGAGAGTCAAATTTAAGTGATATCACTGGTACTTGAAAATACTGTCCAATCATTTGGCCGTCGTTTTGCGGGGAAGCATGAATAAGTCATGCCACCCACGGAAGTAACCTTTTCCCTAGGCTCCCGGGACCAAAGATCTTAAAGTCCCGAAAGCTGGTTGGGGTCTTCAGCTGCAGCTACAAGCTGCTTCTGCAAAATTAAGCGTGGTACAGTCCTGCGGCTAAGTGATACTTAGCATATAAGACAAAGTCTACTGATTGTAGCACGCATAATTATTTCATTAGAGACCACATTACGCGTGGAACAAGTCCTGCGGCTTAGTGTCATTTAGCGTATAAGACAAACGTCTACTAATTGTACCGAGCATGACTGTTGTACTAGGGACCACATTACGCGAGGAACAATTCTTGAGGCTAAGTGATAAGTTTATAAGAAGAATTTCTATCAATTGTAGCGAGCATGACTATCGTACTAAAGGCCACAGGCCTATGAAGCCAATCTATTATTGGTTTGCAATCTAATATACTATTCAAGGCAATGTATAGCCACCATCAATGATGACGTTTGATCCAGTCATGTAACAGCATGCATCACTGGCAAGGAAGACATAGGCCTAGATAGTATGTATTAGCGACGCCCGTGGTGATTACGCCGTGTGATAATGGAAGTAAATTGGAATGTGCTTACACTCTTAAGCTCAGCTGGATCACAAATTCGACCTCCGGGGATCAGGGAAAGCCATTTTTCAAACAGTTCATTCGGCTGTTGAGTAAGCACTAAGCAGGAATTAGTTAGTGTGTGCGTAGATCAACCTCCTAAGTGGGACGGCAATCTTACTCTCAGTAAGGATGAAACCAGGGGAAACGCAGTTCACTCGAGCAAAGTCGGTCCACTCGACTGCTAGGCTCTTTGCCAGGTGCACTGCTGCTGCTTTGGAGGCGTTGTAGGCGACTTGGGTCTGGGGAATGTTGACGAGGATAGCGCTCACAGAGGCTGTGATAATCAAGTTACCCTTGCCCTGCTTTCGGAAGATTTTACCCGCGGCTTGGGCAGTCCACATAACACCCTCATAGTTTACTCGGTTGTCTCGAGCAAAACTTTCTTCGTCGTATTCAAGGTTGGGCCGGTTGGTACAGGTTCCGGCATTGGCGATCACAACATCCAGGCGGCCTTTGCCAAAGCCCTCTGTAATCTCATTGATGGTCGCGGCGATCTCGGCACGCTTTGTAACGTCAGAACAGAACGCCTCGATCCTTCTTCCCGTTTCGGCGGCCAACTGGGTAGCAGTCTCTGGGGCACTGGTACTGGAAGTGTAAATCACGGCGACATCGGCTCCGGCTTCCGCGAGGCCCCTAACAACCTCTAGGCCGATACCTCGGCAGCCACCGGTGACAATGGCGATCTGCCCCTCGAGAGAAAATTGAGAAAGCACGGGGGCGTGCACGTTGGGCGGCTGATATAGAGGCATTTTGTCCGGATAGTATTCGATTAAGGGAGGAAGAGAATGGAGAGCAACAATTCGGAAATCAAAGCTTTGCTTAGGTTCAGGAACAAGAACCACATGGAAGACGTAGAACTTGCCTTAAATAACATCGCAGTAACCTTCGAATGAAGTCTGGTAGACGATATATATTTAATGGCACCAATCGTACCTTTGGGGATGCTTGTTAATAGTAACACCCCACGCACCAGGGGATTTCGCATAATTTGCCGGATGGGGCAACTTTACCGGTGGACCAACTCGTCCCTTCTCCGCCACTTCTCCGCAAAATTGGCACGGTCCACGTCTTCGCCACATTGTCGATTTAAGGCGATATTAGCATCCCCAGATTTTGCAGCATCCTCATGCATCAAGACAAGATATTGTCATCAGTTCGCACACCATGAACGAGTCGACTTCACGGCACGATCTAGCCTCATCGAGACGAACGACGACCCTTGAAGGTTCTGCGACCCGCAGGTCTCGCAAGGGATGGTATGAAATTCTATTGGCGTTGCGGGCTGACTCGGACCTATCTAATTCGAGATGATTCCCCTAGCCCGACTTGTCGCCAACGAAAAATCAAATGTGACGAACGGAGGCCAGAGTGCAGTCAATGTCTCAAGACAGGGCGAGAGTGTAAGATCATCGATGGACTGTTCCGGATACATTCATCTTCTATCTCGAAACTCGTACGGCCTGACCGACCCCCTCGGACCCCACCCGCACAAACCAGCCTGTTGCCAAACCAGCCGCCTCCTTTGTCTGCAACTGTGGATCATTGCGATAATAGTCTGCAGCCGAGTCAGTTGTCTCTTTCCCCAGACTGCCGTGGGTATGTCATGCCGGGGACGTCATCAGTCGAGAATAATGTGGAGTACGATGGATCGCCCTCGTCATCATATGTACCCAGTCAAATCGTAGACCTGTCAATCCACAGGCGGCTCTCATGCAGTGAAGTGCTAGCATCAAACCTTTACGCCCATCAACAACGTGATGCTCCTGTCCAAGTGGAATCAAGTGTAACACCATCTCCGATGTCCAATACCACACCAGGTCATTGTTCCTCCCACGTCCCAGAACATTCAATAAGTCTGTCAGAAGAAAACGCCCGGGACCGTTCTGAAATCACATTTTTCTTACGATATGCCTCTGAAGGACCAACACGTTGGATGGATGTGACCGGCCATGTTCCTTATTTTAGTCAATACTTGGCCTTGCTTTCCGATAAAAGTGCACTTGTTCGTTATGCTGCTGTTGCATTGGCAGCGAAACAGCTCGGCCAAACAAAAGAACCATATTCAAAAACTCAAAACACCACTCATCAGGGCCTCATGACAAAGGCTCTGACCGAAGCAGTTGCTCTTGAAGAACATGGGCTCAATTTCTTGTGGTATGGGGCAAAGTACTACGAGAAAGCTATTCAGCTACTTTTCAAGCAACTTGCTCGAGAGGATTGCGCTATATGCCATCCGTCTCCACGCACCATCTATCAAGCAGACAAAATGTTTACTGATAGCCATGATACCCATCTTGATGCAGATGGCAGTGCATCATCGCTTTTTCAGATCATTGCTGCCTGTATCCTCTGCCAGTACGAAGACTTGAGTGCAACAGAAAAGGCCGTGTCCGGTCATTTGGATGGGGTATACAAGTTGATCTGGTCTTTCTTAAGCGCAGAAGCTGACTTCGCACACGTACCCCGAATTCCGGAATCACAAAGAGCCATGGAGGCGGCTTTCTGGTATTTTACCTTGAATGATATGCTTGATGCTCGTAAGATAATCTCCTCCACTATCTACATGGTGTTACAATCGAGTATGAAACTTATTTTGGCCTTGTCCAGATAATTCAGGAAAGCCCTGCCGCGTCGATACCGAAGATTTTGCGCTATGGCGTCGTATGGGGCTTCCCCTTGACGAGACCGCGAGCCTAATCCTTGATATCATCCATGATCATAACCAAGACATTGTTCTTTTGCGGTCTCTGATTAGGCTTGGATGTCTGTACTTCAGAGGCAATGTGTCTGACCCAACACAATGGTTGCAACTTAATGATGAGTTGAATCGGTGGTGTGAAATACTGCCACCTTCTTTTTCGGCTTCTATTCAGCTGCCTCTGCCCCCTGGTGATCATAACCATACTATTTCCTTGGAATCATGCTTTTTGCAAGAAGTCTGGTTTGGGACGGATGTGTGCCCCATTGCGATGGCATTCTATCACATGATCAGTATTCTTCTGTTGGTGAACCTGCCACAAGAGCTGTTCACTAGAAGATATACGGAGCGTCATGTCGACCTACTGGCCGCTTACAATGCCTTTCAGCGTGACTTGTACCAACACGCTATAGGCATTATTTCAATCGCGCAAGGGAAGCCGAGTTATACCGTTCGCAAATACCTGGTTCAGCCGCTTTATGTTGCCGGTCGTAGCTTGACGGATATGGCTGAAAGGAAAAATGTTTTGGGATTATTCCGTGACATAGAAAATGAGTTGGGGGTATGTGCCAAGTATCGCATTAGTGATCTGTTGGAAGAATGGGGGCCGTCTTCAAAAGTGTTGGGGTATTTCGACACGGAATGAGTCAATGTCCTCACGTTATGTGCTCTCGTTTCTAGAATTTAACGCTACTCAAAGAAAACTTATGCTTCATGCAGACTTTCATTTTAATATTTTGCTCTCATCTTATTGAGCTATCTAATTACATATTCCGAATAATGGAATTGCTCACTGCACACCCGCAATCATGACCTTGAAAACATCCTGTCGGCCAGCTTTCACCAGTTCAAAGGCTTCCTCTGCTTGTTCAAACTTGAAACGGTTAGTGACAAGACGCTTGACATCGATTTGACCGCTGCTAATCAGGTCAATGGCGGCAGGGTAACATCCAGGAAGGTATCGGATGGAGCCCCTGATGACTAAGCCCCTGATGCAGACCGCGGTGATGGGGAACTGGATGTTCTCTTTACCCATACCGGCCTGAACAAAGGTGGCACCGGGCTTGGCAGCAAAGATGCCCAGCTGCACACAAGGCTCTGCGCCAGAACACTCAAGCACGACGTCGAATCCATCACCCATACCAAGCTGCTCCTTCATTTGCTGCGCAACCTTCTCAGCATGCTCCATGGGATCAGCCCCGGTCTCCGCCCGCGAAGGAGTGAATGTGTGATCAACGCCATATGACTTGGCCACCTCGAGTCTTGACTGCACAACATCAACGGCGACGACAGCCTTGGCACCATATGCCTTGGCAACCGCCTGGGATAGAACACCGATCGGTCCACATCCGAGGACCAACACTGTCTGGTGAGCCCGCAGGTCCGCGGTCTTCGCAATTGCACATGCGACTGAGACTGGCTCGACCATAGCCGCTTCCTCCATATTCATCGAATCAGGGACCTTGTAGCAGAAGTCCGCGGCGTTCACATAGTACTTGGCCAGAGTGCCATCCCAAGGAGGAGTGGCAGCGAAGACCATGTGACCACAGAGGTGATAGGCACCCTTGCGGCAGTAGTCGCAGCGACAGCATGGAACACCCGGCTCCATAGCAACACGGTCACCGGGCTTCAGGTTTGTGACTTTGCTGCCGGTCTCAACTATCACACCCGAGGACTCGTGACCGAGGACCATCGGGCCGGTGAGCTTGTAGTCACCGATACGACCTCGCTGCCAGCTGTGGAATATGAGTCAGTCGTGTTGTTTGAGAGATTCGAGTAATTTGCATACTAATGAACATCGCTACCACATATACCTGTCTGTGCGACATGAACAATCACATCATAGGGATCCTTGAGCTCTGGCTTGGGGCGATCCTCGATGACAACGTCTTTGACGGTCCTTAAGACAAATGATGGGTTCTGTCACTTGTTAGATAGAGAGTTCAAATGAAGAGTTCGGTTTGCTCACTTCCATAGTGAAATCTTGATCAAAAACGATTCTTTGACTTGATTGAAACACAATTCTTTCACTTTGAGGGAGTTCACCGTTTCATCTTATGTACTTTCATGAGAGACAGAGAATATGGTAGATTTGGTGGGGAATCGAAGATACTGGAGCGCCTAATTTTCCTGGAACAGAAATTCAGGCGACCCCGCTTTCTGGATGACCGCGCAAGTTTCTCCTCACAAGACCCGATCCACTCTACGATGGCAATTTAGTGCTTTCATGGTTATGAAAGCGAAATGGGACAAGTTTGATGGATTGTTGTCTATTTTAAAGTAGTCAATTGCCTGAGTCCCGTTTTTGCTTTTTCTTCCTTCTCATCTCTCAGTTCCTCACCTACACTTTCTCAACTTCCGTTATTATTTCTTGATTACTTTCTCTGAACCTACTCCTCCAAGCTTTCGCTTTTCATCTGCAACGATGCCTATCCCAATTCCCACGGCAGACAAGCTTGTCGACCTCTTCAGCTTGAAGGGCAAAGTTGTCGTCGTCACCGGCGCCTCAGGCTCCCGCGGAATTGGTTTCGAAGTAGCTCGCGGGGCTGCCGAATTGGGAGCTAATGTGATCATCACATACTTCTCTCGCGAGACGGAAGCCGTGGAGAACACAAAGAAACTGTCCGCCGAGTTCGACGTAAAGGCCAGCGCATACCACTGTGACGTTTCCAATTATGACTCTGTCGAGACCTTTGTGCAGACTGTGATTAAGGATTTCGGGCAGATTGACGGTTTCGTGATCAATGCCGGACAGGCCGCTGAATGTGGCGTGCTTGACGGCTCTGTTGAGGACTGGATGAAGGTCATCCAAGTCGATCTGAATGGCGTGTTCCACTGTGCCAAGGCTGTCGGCACACACTTCAAGGAGCGTGGCACAGGCTCGTTGGTAATCACATCATCCATGTCGGGTCATATTGCGAACTTCCCTCAGGAGCAGACTTCTTACAATGTTGCCAAGGCGGGCTGTGTGCATCTGGCCAAGTCGTTGGCTAACGAGTGGAGGGACTTTGCTCGTGTGAACTCTGTTTCCCCCGGTTATATTGACACTGGTCTTTCAAGCTACATCAGCAAAGAGACCAAGGACTTGTGGAGGTCTCTTATTCCTATGGGTCGTGATGGTATCTCAAAGGAGCTGAAGGGCATTTATGTATACTTGCTCAGTGACGCGAGCTCTTACACGACTGGCTCTGATATTTTGGTTGATGGCGGCTACTGCGCTCGTTGATTCAACAATATTGCATTTAAAGAGCTATCATTTTTAAGTATCGCCATAGATCTACTAATGGATTCTATTACATTTATATTTACCGACTTCTGCTAAATTTTGTACACTCTTCGTGGTACTTGAGACTAATAACAAGGAGACTCTTTCAAGAAACAAGATCTTGTTGACCTTTATACGCACCTTCTGAGTCATCTTCCTGTACGTATTCCTAGGCTTCTGCACTGAACTTTGAAAGGAAGACCCGGACCAGAGAAAGAGAAGGAAAAGAAAACTCTGTCTCTGTCGTTGGTCAGTCACAAAATAGTACGCAATCTCAAGACTACCATCCAGCAAGGCTTACATCAAGATAGCCGATATTATTAGTGATCAGCTTCCCGTCTTTGTTGGATGGAAAAGATCATCCCCATGCTTGAAAGCAACAGGCCACTGCATCAAGAATAGGTCGAGATATTCTAGACCCAGATCATCAAGCTGCACTACTTAGTCAAGATCCTCAGGATAATGCTTATTGTTCCAAGGCTTACTAGTAACAATTTCCTCCCAAGGAATACCACTTTGCTTTATAGCTTTACCAACAACAGAATCAGTGCCATAGCTATAGAAGTCAGCCTTATTGTCCGTATTGAGTTGTCGAGAGAGCTACCATCTTGCTGTATCAATATATCGATAACCTACGTAAAGAGCAGCAAGGACTGCTGCTTCTAAAGTCCCCTCATCTTGCCAGGTTTTGAGACTAATTGTTGTGATATGAGGCTGGTGCAGATCAGGAACCAAGCCGCACCGTCGGAATTAGCTCCGGAGTGTCCATACAGACGACCAAGTTGATTGGAAATCAACTTGGGTCATTGTTATATATATAGGCACATGTATCACTCTGAAATAATAAGTCAATTCATACCTCTGAATTACAACACTGTCTTCCACGAGCCTTGGCGCACATGACCACTTGAATCAGGGGTAGCCTGTGTATTTTCAGTCCATCAGTGTAATATTGAATTTGAACGGTACACACATTGCTATCGTTAATACGCCCCTTCTATGCCATATATAGCTCGAGAGCCATTGTCAGTCCTTTGAGTTCCTTTTTAGTGGCATCACAACAGTACTCCTGCTCCTCTTTCTCGACATCTGGTGTTTCAAGGCAATTTCACGCCCCATTGTCACAAAGCAAGTTGCCACTCCCGTGTTGAACAGCGTTGATAGCATACCACATCACCAGCCGGCGTCTGTCTCCACCTATGTCTACCTGGAAGAGACGTTGTAGCATGCAGGAGATTATTTTTATTGCAATGATGCTGAGATATTTTACCAATCAGATTTGTTGATCATTCAAGCGTAATCAGTTCTTGATCTGACTACCTTGCCTATTTTGGTCAATCTCAGAGTATTCTCACGTTCATCCTCACCCTTAGAGTAGCTCTATGTATGAGAAAAGTCATGATCATCGACTTTCTCTGCTCATGTGCACCAAATCGGTGTTTGTGAAGACATCAAGGAGCTGATTGTGGAAACATGTGAGGCATCTAGGAACGAGAACCACAAGAGATCAAATGTAGCTTGTGAAAGTTTTCATCTCGACTGTCCGCAAAACTTCACATACCTGGATAGGGTCCTATCAGCCCTGTCTTGACCCAGGGAGTTGTTTTGCTCCATAACGCTTTGTCTCGGTTTCTGAGAGCACATGGGCCGCTGCTAGGAGCCATATAGCCCCCAGGAGGCTCAACATAGCTTCTGGGACACTATCCCTACACCTCGGGGAATCAAAGTCAGATTCCTATTGGTAGCTAATTAATTCCCGGAGCCTTGAGTGCGATTCCTGAACCATAGGCTCCCCTGAAAGCGAGGAAGCCTGCTTTTTTGCTTCCTCGCGCTACATCTTGTATCTAGAGTCGAATTGTAGCTTTCTTAATATTGATTATTCATCTACGAAACTCAGTCCCCATCTACGTATACGTGAGACCCTCACAGATAGTTTCATCAGGTCCTGGAACAGAAGTGCGGTTCCTTGGGCTATGACTTGCCTTTCCGGGAGTGATTGAAAGTCTCCTTTTTGTGCGCAGGTCTGGTGAAGGTGTGTTATGAGGGTTTCCGCGAGCCTAGAAGGCAGAATGTTGACTCTAGGATGCAGAAGTAGGGCCCCAGGAGCGCGACAGCTCCTAGATTCAGCCAATGTTTTCCTAAACCCAGTTCGTATTCAATCAGGATCGTATAGTGGAGATCTCAGGGGTAGAACTCGGTTTCCTGGAAACAGGAAATAGCCCCAGGCGCTAAAGAGGAGTTCCCAGAGAATAAACAGCTCCTAGAACTGCGTTTGGCGTTTCCAGGATCAACGCATTGGTTCCCAGAGTCAGATCAACAATAGTTGTCGATCAATATAGATGAGCTAGTTTTGTTACGTCGTAAGGCGGTACAGATAGAATTGTCGAGACTCGCTAGCCGACCCACGAGCTGTTTTTCTGCCAATATGGTCTGTCTTCGTACTATACAAGGCTCGGCTGAACTTGCTGTCGGCATTACTTTGGCCACTGCCGTTAAGTGTATGATATACAAACGACTTTTATCTACTAGCTCTCGGTTCTGAGCCAAGACATACTTATTTCAGATAAGGAAAACTTCCACTAGCATTTTTAGGCTCATATAAAAACAACACTTGCAAATGTGAATCGGTTGCGTAGTGCTCTAGGGTCAGACGATCAGAATTTCATTCATTTGGTTGCTAAATTTGCTCCAAAACTCTATATCTCTGTTGCTGGTCTGAATGCCAGCGTCTAGTCACATGTGGTCACATGTGATTGACAGATTTCCCATTTCCCCCGTGCGTTTGCTGAAAATTGTAATCACCTACACCGACTCGAGGTCAGTTGTGCCGACTGGCGAAGCAGTGCAGAGGTAGACGGGTCTCGCGGTAGATGAGCCCCTGCCACTCTAGCTAAGCGACGGGGCCCACTTTGCTCGATTGCTACCCGTGGGGATCCTATTGATTGCTGAGGCAGTTGACTCTGACGAGGCTCGTTTGATGCTGAATGTCCGATGGTGACATGCTCTCTATCGGTTGATAGTTCGCTTGCCGAGGGGACTTGGACTGGACGAACTAAGGCATCTAAACTTCCTTCATTTCGACTGCCTTTATCAGCATCCCGACATTATAGAACTAAGATCATCCATACTTACCACACATAGCATGACGTGCCAAAGCCTGTATATTGCTTCTCCAACCACTCTCTCACATAGGATAGATAGGCCTGCACTTGGCATTGATTGTAACATAGGATCACGTATTCGATTACTTAGTCCTCGTCCTTAGCTAAATAAAACACACAGTAAATCTCATCGACATTTCTACTTAAGCTGAGATTCTGCAGCGATAAGTTTTAGACTCCAGCCCAAATATTAGTGATCAGTGTTAGGATAGCTGGTCGAGTTAGCGAAAATACTATGCACCTTATCAGTTATAAAGGGATAGATGGATTGTACTAGCCTAGCACTAGTCAATAGGGGTGCCGGTGGGTCTTATCTAAGCTCATGAGAGAGTTATCGGTCAGGGTTGTCCGATTCTATCTGGCGTCTTCTGGAAGCTGACGACGTCTGACGCTAGCATGGATATATAGTGAATAGAGTGGCAAGTCTAGAGTCATAAGGCACTTATGCTTGGTTGCGGATGGCTGCTTCATACTATTACTGGCCAATTTATTCGGCCTGCTGTTGCTGGTGCTATCTTGTATAAAGGAATTCTTTGGTAATAGCATAGAGCTTGGATTGCAATATTAATAATTAGAACGGTTCTCTGGTGAGACTGTTCAGCTCTTAATAGCCTATCTTGGTGTCTTCAGGCTTGATTGAGTCTTTGTATAGAGCGTCTTTCTTTATTATCTAGTAATAAACGCCAGGACTGCTATTAGGGCTGAATTCGATCTTATAAACAAGAAATGGATTTCTAGGTAGTATGGTGGACATTGATACGATCTTCAAAAGTAGAAATTCCTTAGATTGTTGGTGTTGTTGGGTATTCTCTGTGGTGTTCCTTCACTAGCTTTATATATCATCGCTATAAGCCCCTTGCTTACATATCTACGTGGTTACTAGCATGGAATACTTTCTTGAAATAGTCGATGCGTTGAAGAATGTATTAAGATTTAGTATGCGTCGATATAGGCTGATCAGTAGACTGTAAAAAGAGATCTTATTCGAGATCACTGCTGTAATTAGCTATAGTTGTGACTGTGGATTGCGATGACCATATATTGGTAAAAGGATTAACAACTGTTTTTGGTAGTATATTCGGCAAAATTAAGAGATACCTTTTAAGCTTTGAAGTGTATGCAGATTGTGAATTACCTTAATACTTATAGTAAGAGATACGTTAAGTGATATTAAAACAGATTCGATCTTCCGAGGCCTTTAGCACGCTATTAAGAACAACTTTGATGTTCCTAGGAGTTAGGAATTAGAGATTCTCCAACTCTATCTAATTAATATTATCAAGATATAGATGCTGCTGTATAATTACTATGTATCTTAGTAGAGTGATAAGCTATATTCCTTGTTAGTTATAGAATTTAGTTGAGGTAGGTATATAAAGGCTTCGTTATATTTAACCTTTATCACTCTTATCTTATCCTTACTCACACTTCATTTCCTTCTAGCTCCAATCTACTATCTAATTATAGTATATTTTAGTTTATTCTTATTATGTTTACCAATAAGCTAATATGTAACAGTCTAATATTAGAAACCTGTTTAACGAGCTTTTACTGTAGATTTTATTGTATTTAGACGATAGTGCGATTTTCGCCTTTGCAAAGTTATGTAAAGACCTTGATTTTAGACTTCAGCCTAGCATCTAGAGATATAACATTAAATTTTAAAATAAGATTTTATTACATCTAGCTATTAAAAACGATAATATTAATCTTACTGCGGTTTTACTTTAGTATGATGCTAATATTAATACCTTATTCTAAGGGAAAATATCTTTAATGAGATCGTTTTAATATACTTCT